ACTTTATCCAAATGATGAAGGAAGTACATTTGCCATATACACATGGTATTTTATGCAGAATCCAAAACAGTTCAATCTGTAGATGGGTCAAGAAATGTTTTGGCCCCCACAATTGGTTAGTTTTAGAATGTATTCCAACCAATATGACATCCCTCTCCACGTTGGCATTCATGAGACATCACTGTGAAAAAGAATAGAACTAGGAATCTGATTTTGCACCCAACAGACCAACAGTCTTAGCCAACTATCTTTCAGTTCGTTACAACTAGGCAAAACGCTTTAGTTGTTTTGCAGCGTTTTATGCGCACACATGCTAATAATCAAGGTCTTGCATATCAAATCCATCCTGCGTTGCCTCTGGTTGTACAGTAACTCATATGATAATGTATAAACCATAATGAGTGTGTTTCCCAGTCAGGATGAGGTTTTTGCCATGCCCTAGTTATTTGTTTGCACGTTAGCATCATATCCTGTTTCCAGAAACCTGGACAATCCTCTCCTGTAATGTAGTCAGAGAAACAAAGAATACAATGCTTCACAACATAAGAATGATCCACATTCTGCGATTATCTCTGGAAGACTTGAAGCAGACAAAGACGCACCTGCACACAGAAAATCAGAAAACTAGATACTACCAGAGATATGTAAATAAAACCAGGTTTCCTTTCATTCCATATCAATCATCAGTCATATCAGGAAAGGGTTTAGGGTACTGTAACTATAGTAACACCCCTGAGCCTGCTGATGATGCTAAATGTTTTTGGCAGTTTTCCCCAGTATGCTGCCTGTCAGGCATTACACGTCAGCTGTACTTTATGATTGCATGAAAACCGGGCCCTTTGTTGATTGACAGGTGACCTTTATCTGGAGTGAAATGCAAGACATGTTTTTCCAAAGAAAGGCTTCTTTAGTGAAACAGAAGTAGGATTATAAGAGGAACAAATATAGACATGCTACAAAGATTGTTAGAATCAGGGACCGTTTCCAAGTTTTTGTAACTTCAGAGTTTAACTTTACTTCTGAACTTGTGCCCATGCAGCTCCTCACTGGTTCACACATGTAGTCATTTGTTCAAAAATGAGCGCATTTCCCAACCAACCACAGTTGTGGTTACCGAGCTTTTCGAGTGTTGGCCTTTATTCTGGCTATGGTACGGCCTGTTTTTAGGCCTCATTCCTACAATCCAGAATAGCAGAATGTGTCTCTGACTCTCTCATGTTGTTTGTGAACGTCAAGGAGAAGAATAATTGTGTTTGTTAAAGCCAGTGTAGAATGCTGGCAGCAGGCCTGGATGAGATGACACAGCTGTACAAGATATTCTAAGTTGACTTTAATCCTTTTTCTTTGATGTTAAAAACGTGGTCTGAGCAACCACTGATTTGAAAGGACTATACTCACTATTGGTTGACTAGGGCAAAATAGGGCTGTTACTGTTCATTTGAAACAACACTTTAAATGAGGGGGGAAATGTAATATGCAAAAAATGTAATGTATGAGCCAATTATCAAACATGTTGCATGTTGCTTAAAAAAGTGAGATATATAATTGTTATTAATTTAATTGTAAGACTATTATAAATATTTGATAGGGATGTCCCCATGCTTTGCTCTATAATATGCTAAACTAGGTTAGGGTCAGGGGGGTCACAGGTTCAAACCCCACTGCAGTCAGCATGTCGTTGTGTCCCTGGGCAAGACACTTCACCCCAAATTGCTCCTGTGGGGATTGTCCACAGTATTGAGTATGTGAGTCGCTTTGGATAAAAGGGTCTAACAAATAACATGTAATGTAATGTCTGTGAAGTTTTTTTTTCAAAAAACCAAACAGATCATGCATTTTAGCCATGCCTCATTTCGCTCTATTTGCTCTTTTCCAGCCCTGTTTTTGCAAGGGCTGATTCTGTGGCAAATGAGCTGCAGCTGACCACGCCCCCCTGCAAAGGAGGGGGGCGAGGCACGAGCGTCATGTTACTATGCTGTTACCATGCCACGCAACCTCTCATTCCCCTGATAGGTGGAGAGTTGTATTTATGTATCAGTGTGTATCAGATCCGTTACAGCCCCGTTTTTAGAGATTTGGGTATGGAGGAAAAGAGAGAGGGTTGTGTTTTCTGACACTTGGTGAGTTCCCTGACACACCGGGGACACATATTCATGTATAAAAGACGTACAAAGGTGCATTTTGCATGATAGGTCCCCTTTAAGGTAACGCAGTATGTTTTAACACATTCAAAAATCTTTTCAGAAATAATAGTTAAGAGTTACATTACTGTGAGAATATTGTCTGAAATACCTTACTAAATATCTACAATTGTTTTACTAAGTCAGTCGTGTCTGTAATGTTAGGTCTCCCTAATGTTTGTTAACATTAGCCCCCATAAGCTACAGGTCATACCAGACTAAATCAAGCTGTTGCAGTAAAAATCCTGACTAGATTGAATCAAGTAAGAATGTTTTGCATTAATTATGGATAAGATTAAGTATTTGTCAAAGAAAGAACTTGTTAGTTTTGTCCTTCAATAGTTAAAAAGCCTAACTTTAAATAAGTGCTAATGGGTTGTTTTTAGAGATTGTGAAAGCATGGCATCATAGTTTAAGAAATCTTTAGTACACCTGTGCTTTGTTTGTTTATGGTCTTCAAATGAAGTGTGAAGTTTAGTTACTAATAATAATGCCAGGTATAGTGGGGAACTGGTCCCTGCCTAAATACTTGTGAACAAAACAGTTATCTTGGCGGTTATCTAAACAGAGCTTTACATCCAGCTGAAAGCTAGCAGCATACCCTGTTGACACCAGAAATATCACTCAACACGACATTTCCCACTCCTTTTTTAAAACTGGCAACCCATTTTTTATGAGTTCTTGTGAAGCCAAACACTGCGGGGCCAGTTTGGACCGTGGGCGCTGCCTGGAATCACATCCACTGTGGTTAGCTCCAACGCGCCTGACGGGATGATAAATGACCCTGCTGAGGAGCTTGCCAAAAGAACATTCTTTAAGTCTTCGCCTGCTCTTTGTGTCAAGATGCCTTCATAACTCTTTCTGATTGACTAATAGTCGTGCTTGGCATGAGTGTAGCTTTCTCCATTCTTGACAGTAAGGTGGCAGGAAGTATGGGGCATAGGACAAATGTTTCTGAACACTATTTTTAAATGCTGTTTTGGGACCGACCAAAATGTCTCCGTAACACTGATTTATTAAAGACTCTCAATTAAAGCTGACTACCTGGTCAGATATATTTATCAATTTAACAGTTCATTTAGAATGTATTTTATCAAGGTAAATAATAGCAGATCATCCTTTAAGTTAAGCTAAGAAGAAGTTTACTATTGTTCCCTATATTGTTGTTCTGGATGTTTACCTTTTTGTTTACGACTGACAGTGTTGGTTCTGTTTTTTTTGGGAAGACAATACCACCATCAGCTAAATGATAACAGCTTCACAAGCTTTGGCTGGCTTTGTACTCATAGTTTTAGCCTCACCTAAGATACTTCCTAATGACTCCTAATGATTGTTATTCTGGGATAGGATTTCAAGGCAGTGCTAAAGTCACAGAACCACCCATTTCTGTTGCTGTTTTTACTAGCAAGGAGTCACTGATAATTCAGGATTAGCAAGCTAGGCTAACCACCTTTTTACTTTCCGATTAGAATTCAAACTAAATGTCTGATAGCACAGTCTTTGTCGAAAACAACATCCCACTTAAATAAGCTTAGAATGGCGTTCAGTTTACAGTGCCTGCCATGGAAATCTCCCTTTGAAAACAGTTTTATTAATTCAAATGTTCAACTTTCAAAGCTTTTAACATTTGAGAATTTTTGAAGATTTGTTGTTATCAAAGTATGGCACGGAAAAAGTGTTGTTTAGGTTACAGTACAGTGTAATCCAGTGCTACATGGGATAGAAGCCACTGTGTTTTTTTTTTCATTAATTGAACGAAAAGCAAAAATAATGATATATATTTGTTTTAGTTAACCTGTTAACTCTGTTTCTTGAATTACTGCTTATATTCCCTGATCAAGGACTTGTGTCTTTACTTTCAGGTAAACTGTACTTACAGAGCGTTGATGACCATTTTTACAAGGCTGAGTTACGGCCTATAGTAAATGAAATAAATAATTAGAGAGCAGGGGGGAATATTCTAAGGCTTAAGGGCTGTATTTATTTTTAAACCCTAAATATGCCTGAATATGCAAAGATGCTGCCTTTATGTTTCTTCGACTGAATTGTCGGTTGCTGCAGGAACCAGTTTTTCTACTTGTCCTGCAGCTCTGATTTATTTCTTCCTGTTTCCTCTTTGACTTCTGTCGACGTGAGAACCAGGTCCCCTAAGGTAAGTCTCTTCTCAAGGTGTCTCTTTGGCCTTTTACCAGTTCCCACCATTTTATGGTCAGACAGATATTTGAAGACCCTCTGAGTCTGAGGGCTCACATTCAGTCTGCTCAGCCTTGCTGCTCGCCTTCACCCCCCAGTCTCATAAAATAACACAACGGTTTCCTAGGGAACAGAGCCAGTTTGGAAGTCCAAAAAAGAAATGGAAAAGGAAAATATAATCCTGCATGAAATCCAAAGCTCATATATATTAGGTGTAAGACAAAAAGGGAATAGATCCTTAGGGATCGTAAAGAAAACACAGTGGCTGGAATTAGCTGTGTGTTATGGGGTTTATTTGTATGGCTAACCTCATGCCTTCCCTCTCTCACAGGATCCCCCGGGTCCAGAAGAGGAACCTACAACCAAGGTAGACCTGTGTGATGTCACTTTGTTTTTAAGCAGTTTTTATACCTTGAAGGTCAACCGAACATGCTGTTCTTTTCCCTTTCGCTGTTTGTTCACTGGCCAAAGCCCACCTCCAGTATGACTCATATAACAACAGAACTCTGTTATACCTCAACAATTTAATAACATCATTTAAAAAAAATTACTTATACAATACAACTGTTCCAACTGAACAGCACCACAAACTAAATCCATGAAAATGACTGTTTAATCATTACCTCTCTATCAATAAATTAATAATTCTTATTAATGTAGTTTTTTTCGTCCACTTTTAGCCAGGTGTACCTAATAAATGATCACATATATTTCAGATGTTGTTTTGTTAGGCTATTCTGCTGCCCCCAAGTGGCATTAATAATCAATAATGCAGCTTTGTGTTTGTTTTGCAAGTACAAGTGGGAATGCAATGTCATGTGATGACACCCGTTTTTTTTCATCAACAGCTTGTTGTTCTATCTCTATGTTTCTCTCATTTATTTATTATTCTTTACATTTGTTCTATATATTTTTTTCTGAATATTTAAAACCGCTGAATTTAAATGTCTCCTGGTGTGTTTGTCCTCCAGAACAGTCGATCAAAATGTTCATCCGGGGCCGGCCCATAACCATGTACATCCCCTCCAACATCCTGAAATATGAAGACCTGAAGATGGAGCCGCCCTCTGAGAGGCTGGAGCTGGACTGGGTGTATCCTTCCACAGTACCACAGCAGCAGTGTGCTGCCTCCATATTTATGAGGGATATGTTCAATTCAGACAGTGCCTATTTCACTGTGCGCTCATTTCCTGGATTCAAGCCACGTTGTTCGTAATGGAAAGTATCTCTTTAATAGTCTGTGAGAGCAGCATCAACCACATATGAACTGTGAGCTGTGGGTGACATATGTTTAGAAAGACATGTATGGAAACATGGAGATTACTTTATAATGACGCACTTTTTTCGTGTGGTGAACTGTTATTTTATTAGATGAAATGGACCAATGATTAACCTGAATGTGACCTTGACCGTTTCTTGCCAGCTATGGTTACCGGGGGCGGGACTGCCGTGCCAACCTGTACTTCCTCCCGACGGGCGAGGCAGTGTACTTCATCGCCTGTGTTGTTGTGCTCTACCATATCAAGAACCGCACACAACGCCACTACACCAATCACACAGACTGCGTCCGCTGGTCAGTGGGACACAATTCATTTCATCTGCATCTACACACACAATGAAATCAAACTCACTTAAAGAGCTAGAGAACATGTTTTAAGCATCATATGGCCTAAAGGCCGTAAAAGGTCAGATGTTGCCTATTTGAGAAATTATTAAGTTAAATTATTAAGTTCTTCCAAATGTATTAAAGGTCCCATTTCATGGACATTTCTACTGATCATAATTCCATTGTTGAGGTCTACTAGAATAGATTTACATTGTTCAATGTTCCAAACTCACATTGGTTTCTCATACAGCATCTCTGTATACTGGCCTACAGGGTGTACTTTGAGGGTTTTTGACTCTGCAGACCATTCACATGCATAAAAACCTTCATAACACACAAGGGGACGGGTCCTTTAAAGCAGTGGTTCCCAACCTGGGGGGCGCACACAACGATCGCAGGGGGGGCGCCAGGCCTCAGATGATTTAAGGCCAAATATCATATTTAGACTTTTTTTTTTTTTACATATAATTGTAAAGCAATACATGATTGTCACTAAAAGCCTTGTCTCTACATTACAATAAAATATAAAAATAATTGATTAATTAATTTGAATAAAAATTCAAGTTATTATTAAAGGCATAAAAAGACAGAAATGTATAATTCTTTCTTTAATATAAATGTTTCTCCTGCCCGTAAAGTGTCCAAACCGGGCTTTTCTGGATAAGCGCATTTTTAAAACATGTTCATTGTCCATGCCGGTTTCAGTTTGATTATTTGTCACACTTGCTCCGATCAGATCGGTCTCCTCCATTTTGTAGATTATTTACAATTTTTGAATCCACATCAACACATCGGCAAAATCCGGTTTACTTTGAGCATATGTTTTAAACAGTTTAATCCCTTTGTGAATTGTTTTCACTTGCGTCGTCCTTTAATTTCTTCATACAGCGGGAATCCAAATGAATGAATCCTGAGTCCAATAACCATCAAAGTCACTCCAATATAATTACATTGTCCTTGATGAGATTCAAGTGAGTCTCTCTGCTTTCATACGCTTCATCTTCTTTTAACAAATTAAGCTTCCACAATTCATCCAGTTTGTGAAACGTAGTTTGTTATCATTTTTGGAGAGCTTTAAACTTGGAAATTAACCGCTGTTGTGGCCCCCCCCTTGTGTGTGTGTGTGTTGTTGTTTGGGGGGGGGGGGGGTCAACAAACAGTGGGTAAAATGTAAAGTTTAAAAAAGCAACTTCCACAGGAAGTCATTGGGGGGGTTTGCTTGGGAAAAAAAGGTTGGGAAACCCAAACTGCTTAAAAAAAGGGAACCCTATCATTGCTTTTGGGATTCCCTTTCCTGTACGTGTGCTATAAACTGATAGGTTGTCTAAAACCTGTGTTCCGATCCATGGAGCGGAACATAGTGAGGCAGCATTATGCCAACACTTGCGGCTCGTCTATTGGCTAGGCTCTAACTACATTGTAGTGATAGGCTAAGGGCAGGACATATTCCCGACATCTTCTAAGCGGTTGACAATCACAACAGAGCCGGCCAGTTAACCAATCAGAGCAGACTCTGCTTTCAGGCTTAAAAGGCTAATTGTATAGATTCCAGGGTTAGTATTCCATTTCTTGAATAAAAATGAGTGTTATTGTAATCCTAAAATCCCAGTCAAGCATTAAAATCTGGCCCTCAGATTATTCAACCTAGACTTTTATATTATTCTGCTAATCTCTAAAATACTACAAATCAAAAAACATTCAAACACAAGGTGGACCATGTTTTAACTTAATAAATAGGATTAGTTATTTCACAATAGGTTTGGCATCTAAAATCATTCTTAACTTCACAATAAATCTTCAAATATTATAATCAATATAATGGCCACTGAGTCAATTGGGAAGGCATTACACATATGGTGGTTTCTTTCGGTATGCTAATCTGGTGACGATGATTGATGGACTTTGTGTTGATAATTAGGCATTGACTTATTCAGTTCATTGAGTATGAGAGGAGGATAGTTCGTGCGATTTGTGATGGAAAAATAAAACACAAAGAAAAAATACTGTTAAAAAAATGAGGAAACAGCACCGCAGAGGGTGTGATGAGGTGAATTGCATAAAACGGAGTCTGTTCAAGTTGAAACAAGCAGAAAGATCTAGTTAAAGGTATTCAAATGATGTGTGAGCAGCTGAAACAGACATTATAAATCATATAAACCCTGTAAGGCAGGATATACATTACTGGTAACCCAACAGGAGCAGTTCAAAAGAGAATAGCATATTTGTTTCTGCTGTGGAGGGTGCATTGGGGTNCAACATTATTTTGTTAAATAACAACATGGTGATGTTTTGTAAATGATTACATGTCTCTTATTTAGCACAGAGTATGATATCCGTGACATATGGACCTTAACAAAGTTCCGCTGTACATCCAGCGTACTGTATCTGACTTTATTTCACATGAGCTCCAGGGTGGAACCCCACTGCACCCCCTTGTGGATCAATGATCCATTGCAGCTGGCTTCATTATAATTACATTTATCTATCACGGGGGTGGTCTCAAGTCAAGCTGGAGGTTTTCCCTTGAGCGAGGGCAGATCACGTACCAATCACGGCCCTTGCGTTTCAAACTGTCTGAAATGAAGCGCTACATCTGTAGCAACTTCTTAAAATTGATTTTTACAAAGTTCAATCATTTTATAGTTGCTCTATATAATTTCTGGAAGAGAAAGTAAACAACAACTTTTTATTCATTGACAAACTTTGAAACCAATTAAAGCATGATATAGGCCCAGGAATTCATCATGAAAGTATTGAAATAATTCAATAAATGAAGAAGGATAACATTCACTTCGAAAAATAAATAATAAAGAGACACCCTCACATAAGTCAATAAAATTAAGATGATCAGCGCAGCTTTAATAATTTAATTAGCTAAAGCTGCACTGCACGTACTGTAATACTGAATAAGTTTGATCCACCAATGATTGAAGCCACCATCAGGCTTGGAGGACAATTTAAGTTCCAAAAATGCATGGATTGGGAATTTGTATCCAGCAAGTGATCCACTCTGACGTAAAGCATGGCTCTCTCATTCAAAGGTTCGTCCTGATGCTGGAGAATAATGAGATCCCACGGCACCACAGTGACTTTTTAAAAAGAGCAGCACAGGCCTGAGTGTGCCTGACACTCAAGAAGCAGGCAGGAGTAAGTGTGTTATCTGGACAATTTGTCTTAATGATCTTTTTAACAAAACCAACGATGCATAGACTCTGCATTAGTAGATTTGTCAGGGACAGGGCTAAATCATTGTTTTTCCAATGCAACATCATTCAAGTTGTTTAGTAGTGAATTCCATTTAAATACCGGTATAAATATATTGTTTGTTTTTCTGTCTGTGGGCTGCATAAGGGATATGGCGAATTCCCCAACACGAACAGGGATGATTAACTAAATCATCTGGTAGAAGCCGACAGACAGTCCGAAGTAAACAGAGCACAGAGCGAGCGGGAGGTTGCATCAGCTGGAGCGTGTTTCACCACAACCCCTGAGCTGGGAGATATGAAGGCCCTCAGGCGTGGAGGAGAGGAGAGCGGGAAGAAAGGGAAGAGAAGAAGGAGAGAGGAGAATTTGGTCACATATCTGATGTTACTGTCTCAGGAAAAGTAATGTTTGACCAAAACTGAATTGTAATGATGATGAGTGCTAATAATCAGTTTCCCTCTGGCATTTTATTATAACGCCCAAACTATGTATCAACGGCATCAAGTGTATATGCTTACCTCTTAGTCTTAATGAGACAAAGATTCAAAAAGGAAATCATTAAAAAGTCAAAATGTATGCTGCTTTTAGAATTTGCCAATGGTGTTAAAATTGGCATCAATCAATGATGTCGCTTCGATGACTTTAGCCTGGCGAGCCTGTAAACTACCGTTTGCTCAGGTTGTTTCCCACGTACCTTAAGATCCAAATATTCAATCAAATTTTAGGATAAGCCAAAATAATCGCTAAGTTGAATACCAATGGACCTGGTGATAGAAACACTGATTAAAGCAGTTTTACGTTAAAATCTATGTTTTTCTGATGCAGTTTTGCCGAAATAGACTAAAGGGGCTGCGAGCTAAACACTCAATTTTGATGACATTTTAGTTTAAATTGTACTTTATTATGTATGTTTCATAAAACAAATAGTATTGGAAATTGTGACACCACAGTGTTGGTTTTATTATGCAAGGTAAGAATACAAAAATGAAACAGTTTGAGAGGAGGCAGTGACACAGGATAATGAGCTCCAATAGTCCGATGTCTGCGACACAAACAGGCGGACTAGAGCGTTATAACAGACCAGTGTGCAGTGTGGAAAAGTGTGTGTGGTTACTTTGTAGCAGCAGGTAAACAGCTGTGTGTAATGACAATGCACTCTGGTGCATCGCTTCCAAGCAGCAAACTCTGGGGCAGAGCCGGGAGGTCAATAAGGAAGTGCCACAAACTGCAGTTCATCTATTGGCCGATAGGCGATGACTGCAGAAAGGATCAATTTCCATAGACCCCCATGTTAAAATGCCCAGCTTTACAGCAGAAATAAACATGTTTCTACCCCTGGATGCAATACAAATTATTCGGGATTTAGTTATATTCCACCTTCATGATTATGAATTGGTGAGTGAATTGTTTTATAACGCGAAATTCTACCGAGCCCGGCGTCCTTCGTAGCGAGAAATTTCGAGACTGCACATGTGTATCCTCCGCGGTCTTAAAATCTCCACAATGCTTTGCGCACGGACCAATTTCCAAATCTTTGGCGGAAATCGTGTTCCATTTAAGGCGGAGCCTCGCATATGATGCACACCTGCACACCTGTTAGCCTGTTCCACCATTCTTCGTTTTCCGAGGCTAGGAAAGATTCTTGCCTCGCTTCTGAAGGAAGTGACTCGGAAGACATGTCCTACCAAGGAAGCGTCCTCGACATTGAGAAACACCCTAGGTCTTAACGTTTTTGCATGAATTAGGGCGTGGTCACCTTGAGTGACAGGTCTCTGCAGTTACTGCTGCTTCTAGCTTTCTGTCTCCTGCTAGTAGCTCCGTTAGCTAAGTAAGCTCCGGGATGCTACAGGGGCTCAGCTGCGAGGCTGATGCGGGGAACACAACTTGAACTCGGACGTCTTTGTTGTGTTGGTGCCTGTTGGAGTATTCTTCATTTAAATATCGGACTTATCTTATGGCTCTGCGGTTAAAAAAGACCGACCATGAAAGCAGTTTCTTTGGTGAGTGAAATTCAAGCACTTTATTTCTCACTGGTGTTTTTATTCATTCAGCTAAGCTACATCTGTGTTAACGATGCTATCTGTAGCATACAAGTTAAAACATATTAGAGAAGTGTAAAATATTAAGAAGGATTATACTGTAGAACAAACGGCTTCTGTGTGAGGTTGGTATAAAAAGGTCATCTTCGTACATTAGTTTGCTAATTAACTGTATGCATTGATATTGTTGATTTAAATGTGCTATGTTCGACGACGCAGGCAGCTAGCATCACAGCAGCGTACTGTATATGAGATTAACCTCACTATAAGATCTGTGTATCTTAAAAATATGAATCTCACATTTCCAGAAATAACGTTAACGTAGATATTGCAATATGGTTTGTTGAGCTGGAATTGATTATTGAAGCTTACTGGTTAACGTTACCATCATAATAAACGAACGGACCCAAACGTTGTTGTTTTTATTAATATTATTACCAATACTTACTAAGCATTTTATTATCATTACACAGGAGAAACCGACTGATTGTGGCAGCAGAATGTGAACATGTAACTTAGTGCCTGCATTTAACGACGAAAGATAGCGCAGTCAATGCTTTAGGGAAAAGGAAATGATTTGTTTAAATATTAGATATCATGTTATGTGTGCTTCTGTGACAATTAAGCTTATTCATTTCATTAGATTTGTTAAAGATGTTTGTCTTTTACCCTTACATGTGTGTTACAAATGAATGTGAATGTGGCATAGGACATATTTAAATTTGACTATCACATGAAAAACTATTCCAAATTAACAGTAAAATAAAAAGGACCCCAACTAGACAATAATAGACAATCCAACTGATAAGATACCGTAAGGGCTGTGATATCCAGCACTTTTTTTGAAGGATAATCCAAAAGATTAGGACATGACGTTTGCATGTAAAGAAGTCTGTGACCAACACATGTTACTTTACTATCTGTTTGTTTAAAGTTTCCAGGTGATGCAGACAGACCAGAGGATGCTGACCACGAGAGAAAGACCTATCCCTAACATCAGTGAATTTCAGCATGGACTCAAAGGTACAAAGACCCCTTTCATACTGTACAAAGAATCGAGAAACGTTCTGGTTTAAATAGATAAAGTAACAAATATAATACACTGATATACATTCAATTAAACATGACTAAATACTGACAAATCAGGGAAGTTGACTGTTCCTTCCTTGCAAAAAAGTTACATTTAGATTTGACCAAGCAACAAGCAACATGATTTTTTTTGTCAGCTTTCACATGTCAATGTATTTAAGGCAGTTATTATTTTACTTTGTGAAAATTACAACCATTTGTCTCTACATATTGTCTGTAAAAACGTGGTAAAAGTGGTTGCAGTGAGACAACCGTACAGCCGTACATGACACTACAGTTGCACTAAGTTCTGATAAAAGTTGAATATGATTGTAATAATAACATATATCTTAATGTTAATTAACTGCACACTGTTCATTCCTAATCTGATTATCTTTGTAGTACAAAGTGATGAATTTCAAAAACACTTTCAAATCATTTTGTATTTATTTCTACGGCCCTCTAACGCAACTCATTCATAAATAACACACTTGCTCTTCAATAACGTCATATGTTTTATGTTTCTTGTCATTTCTGTTAGGAAAGGACATACCTGAAGGACACAACTGCCTCACCGTTTTCTCCGAGGGGCAAGAAGAAAATGAAAAGCTGATATGAGATTAAAGACCATTACAAGACATTCACTAAGAAACTACACTTTTATTGTGAACAGAAAGGTCTGCACACTATGTATTCAAACAGGACCATCATTTGTTTGTGACAGCTGTGCCAAGTATCGGCTCACAGATGCAGTTTGGTGGTTTCTTCATCAGGCCTGGTCCTCCTCCCAGAGAAAGACCGCTCCACCTCAGTGTAGTGTCCCGTCAATTATGTTAAGTTGTGTCATGTTGTGATTGTCATGTTCATGTTCAGTTAGTTTATTGTTCCAGCTTCCGTTTTATTGTTGTACTGCACTTGTCCTCATCAGTCCCTTTATTCTGCCTTGGTATTTTTCCCGCCATCGTCCAGTGTCTGCCCACCTCCTGATGTTTCCCTGTGCCACTGTACCTCTGTATAGTATTGTCCTGTCTCCCTATGTTAGTTTCGGTTCAGTCTGTTTTGTCCAAGAAGCAGCAGCATCGCTTAAGGATTCAGATGGTTTTGCTTTTTGTCNNTGTGGTTGGTGTTTCAGGTGTTGTAGTTGGTTCAGGGGGTGTAGATGCTGTGGTGGTGGTTGGTGTTTCAGGTGTTGTAGTTGGTTCAGGGGTTGGGGTTGTAGATGCTGTGGTGGTGGTTGGTGTTGCAGTTGTTGTAGTGGGCTCAGGGGTTGGGGTTGTAGATTCTGTGGTTGCTGTTTCAGGTGTTGTTGTTGGTTCAGGGGGTGTAGATGCTGTGGTGGTGGTTGGTGTTGCAGTTGTTGTAGTGGGCTCAGGGGGTGGGTTTGTAGATTCTGTGGTTGTGGTTGGTGTTTCAGATGTTGTAGTGGGTTCAGGGGGTGGGGTTGTAGATGCTGTGGTGGTGGTTGGTGTTTCAGTTGTTGTAGTGGATTCAGGGGGTGGGGTTGTAGATTCTGTGGTTGGTGTTTCAGGTGTTGTAGTGGGTTCAATAGGTGGGGTTGTCGATTCCGTGGTTGTGGTTGGTGTTTCAGTTGTTGTTGTTGTGGGTTTAGTTGGTGGGGTTGTCAATTCTGTGGTTGTAGTTGGTGTTGCAGTTGTTATAGTGGGCACACATGTATCTACTTCACAACATACTCTGATCTTATAATTGAAACATTTCCGTGGAGGTCTAAATTGGTCCTCCTTTCTACATATTAAACCCACTCCTAGATCACAAGAAACCTGTTGGCCAGTCTGAGTTACAAAGTCATCGAAGTCCATGTCAGGATTATCTGTTGCTCTACAATCAATTTCTGTGGGAGTTTCACACATTTGTATACCACTATTTGTGATGTTCTCATACGTTTCCCAGTCACTTTTGTCCTCTAATGGGTTATGCACATCGTACCACTCTGACCACTCACATGTTTTAATACAAGGTGTAGTGGATTCATTTGGTGGGGTTATATATGTTGTGGTAGTGGCTGGTGTTTCATTTGTTGTAGGAGTTTGAGTTTGTGGGGTTGTATATACTGTGGTTGTTGTAGGAGGTTCGGTTGGTGTTGTAACAGGTGTGGTGGTGGCAATTGTTGTTGTTGGGACAGTTGTAGATATGCAAGTTTCATTTTCAAATATCACTGTCGCATTCCTGCATATTGCATAGTAGCACATTCCCATATTGTCAGTGGCATTGAAAATAACTTCCTCTTCGTCGTATCTAGTATTGTTGTAATAGCAACCTGAACATTCCTCCACACACAACCCAGTGTCTTCATCAAATATCGGCGTATCTTCTGGGCATACAGGGTAGCAGCCTGTACAAATCACAACATTAAATGTAATACATTGTTTGTGCAATTGAAATTATTGTTTTTGAAATAGTTATTTATTCTACTTGAAACTGAAGATTGCTTGGTTGTCTCTGAATCTCTTTTCACACATAAAATAAGCCACATTGGATCATTTCTACATTTCAGATTTTAACCATCACATAAAGCTGAGAAAGTGTGAGTTAACCTCTCACCTTCCAGGTTGGGTAAAGGTTTGCTGCAATTTTCTTCTGGATTCAAACAGGTCTTGTAGCAAGGTTTGTGGCAAGGATTGTAGTGCCACTTGCATTCACCTGGGTTGTTGTAGTAATCACAAAAGACAGCTAGGAAGAAACGATTAAAAAAAGGTTATGTTTTAAACAAAGTAATTGCTGATGTAGGCTATCTCTTAGTGAAAGAGACCTTAAACATAAAGTCAACCTGATATGAATCCTCACATTATATTTATTTTAGGCCTAAAGATTGAAAGAAGTTTAAGGTATAACTTGGGAAGTTATTAGGCATCATGTATATACATTGCGTGTAAATCATTGCATCGGGTCCCATAACAGCTTCTTAGCACCAGAAAAGATGGGAAACCTGAGGTTATTCTTAGGGTTCGAAGGTATATATATTTCACATTGTTGTATACTTACGACAGATTTCTGGAGTTCTCCATGCAACACATACAGAAGCCTCATTACACGCTTGAGCATAAGCTGCGACTGCTGAGCAGAAACATTCACAGTCTCCTCCAGAGTCGCAGGCACATGAGTCTTTCACACAGTTTTCATAATATGGAAGGGGAGCAACCTGTTAAGTCATAAAACAAATGAGTTACATTTGTTCAACCATCACACTTAAAAAAAAAACACACAATGATTAACAATAAAAAAACACATTGATTAACAATATGTCTGCACCTTATTGTGGCAATGTTTGAACGTATTCCCAGTTATAATGCTGCACATCATTTTTGCCCAGTGATGTCGATTGGGTTTTGCGCCACAAGGGTCAGCATTCGTATCCACATCTGGGCAATTGCTTGACACTTTCCAGCTGTTTGCGAATTCTACAGGATTGCTTACTACCAGATGACCCTGGGTGGTGAAGTCGTTCTGTCCATCTCCATCAAAATCTCCACACAGACCACACACCTCTCCCTGAAAAAGCCATACAAAAGGAGTTAGTGATTTCTTTCACATTTTATTCCATAACAAACCCTTTGGGACAGACATTTTCCAGGCTTTAATATACTTCCATTATTTCCACAACCTATATACTAAATATGTTTAGTATATTATTGTATTATTATAATAATATTGTTATAATTGTAAAAAAAAGGATTTCAGAAAGTTAATATGGTGTAAACCGCTTATAGTGATCGAGGTTACAGTGATCAACTGCTTATATAGAACAGATAAATGAAACTTTGGCACAGGATTTGTGTATAGTAATCAAGTCAACCACTAACTTTTCATTTTGAGCTTTTCATACATTACAACATGTTACATTTATAAAAATACATTTTAGAGTTTGTGTAAACAACACAACACAGTTACATGTAAAGCCATAATATAATTTGAACTACAGTGAACAGATGTTATATACAGTAGGTACTGTATTGCGTTTAGGTGCATTTTTATTTAAACAGTCCAGTAAATAAATGTCTACAATAATTTTGAAAAGCATTTGAAATAGATGTACTGTATTTTGTCAAAGTGGTGTGAAGAAAAAACAGACAGCTAGACTACATATTTAAAAAATGTTTTACATCATATCAAAACTTGAATATTTAAGTCATCATATGAACAATTTCCGAGACTTACACTGTGCATTGGTTCCAGGATAATGCGAACAGTTGTTTTTCCATCCCACATCACCGACAGACCAATGGCTGATTCTATCACCACAAACAAGCCAACCCTTCGTATTCTGTACTGAATCTCAGCACCCTGGCCCAGGTTCAACTCTTCATATTTACCCTTCGATAGTTTAATTTCCATTCGCTGTAATGTTAAGGAGATTCTTGTTAGTTTGACGAAATAAATATTTTGTTGGATTGAGTCCAATATTTCAGGCACAGAGAGAATATCAGGTGTTGGTATGATGTCTTACCCCCAGATAGATTCTGACAGTTTTGGAGCATGTGGTGCCTGTAGTTCCACAAGGTTCATTTTCTGTAATGACCCCAAAGCTGTCCTGCACTGTTTTATTGCCACATTTGTTCTTAAAAGAGAAAGATGTATTGATTCATTAAACATTTTTCAATTTTTCCTTTATATTAGACATGTACCAATGGTAAAATTAAACCTTGGCTTGGACTCAAATTTTCCACAATAGATTAGTACAAACACTAGAACACAAACACAGTGTTTGACACAGAGTAGGATTATATAATTCATATTTCACTCATATTTCATATGTCTTTAAGTAAATTAAATGTAGATATCATCCCAAAAAGTATATCAAGTTTAGTCTTCAAGATTAGAAAAAAGCTAGACATTTATACATGACTGACTTTCAACATTTGTTTACCTTCACAGCAACATAGGCACAATCTCCATTAAACCCATATGTTTGCTGATCAAATGTATTGTAGTGGCCACTCCCATAAATAGTGCAAGTTTGTGGGCATTTTTTCTCGCTGCACACCCAGCTTCCACTTTTGCAGGTACTAGATCAGAAATGGTAAGATATAATACAATGTTTTAGAATACCACAATTATGTAAATGTTAATAATAATAATAATGTAATATATAAATATAATAATGTTTATGCTATAGTATACTTCTGATTTAAAAACGAGGTCATACCAGGTGTTGCACTGCTCGGGGATTTCTGATCCAGGGGCATAGATATGGCCATCGTGCTTACATGGGCACTGATTTCTTTGCACACAGGAATCTTTGCCATCATCGAGAAGGCCAGCTGGACACCGACAGCCAGATTCACACTCAGTGGAGTCCTGAGAAGAAAGAAGGATGACATAGATAGTAAAGGAGAAAAATGAATAATACTTGTTGGGAAAATACTGAATGTACTCTTCTAATATCAGAGTAGCACATGTTAACAAAGGCCCTACGTAGCTGTGTACGTAACCAGATGTATGATTACCTAGAAGAGCGTCAGGACACACTGCTTAACATGATGATTCAGCCTCTATGGAGATGGACATATGACTGTCATGTTTATTGCCTTACGCAGGCCTTAGCTAATCTGAATGTTAAACATTGAATACTGCTCTTGAACCGGTATCTAACACTCTCTTGTATATAAAGCTTGTCAGGACACTATTCAGGGAAACTATTTGTAATATGCAGCTTTGTATATGAATGACTAATTCCATTCTTGGCAGGGATAATAAGATACATGTATCCTGATATGATGACTAATTCCATTCTTGCAAGGATAATAAATACATGTATCCTGATATTGAAGATCAAGCCGGTGACGAGTGATATTTTCCAACAATACTGTTCAAGACTCTAGAAACTCTGTGGAACTAGTGAAACCCAACAGATTGTTCAACATCTTGAATGTAACAAAGCATCCATCATAAAATTAAGGAAATAGACAATAGACTGAGATGTTTTAGACTGAGAGCTTACACAATCATCGCTGTCCAGATTCAGACACGTTGGAGCACAGTGCAGGCCCAGGTCCCCTGAGCCAGCAGCAGAGCAGTTGAAGAACTGTTTTGGAGAAGGGCATGCTGCAACAGAAAAAGATTCAACATACCAGTATCAACAACAAAAGAAACAGTATCGATCAAATACTTGTCTTGTGGTAAAACATTTATAATTAAATATATAACGTACTTGATGAGCGGGCTCTCCAAGAATGGCAATGAAGCATTCCATTGTTACATACACTAGAAAAGACACCAAGGATATGAAATTAAATACAACACAAAGTTACCTGAAAATTAACAATGTATTAAATTAACTGGTGGAAAGTATATTTATATAAGGACTCTACCTAAGTACAGTTTTGATGTTCTTGTGCTGTATTTCAATGTTCAGCTACTTTATACTTCTATCCCACTTTACTTCAGAGGTTAATATTATAATTCTCTCACCTACATTTATTTGTAACCTTTAGTTACAAGTTAGCCAAGTTAGCACCAACGCTATCAGCGGCAACACACATATCTATAAACCAACAATTATTATACAAACATATCAAATATATTATTCTAAAATGGGTAATTCTGCCAAATAAGTACTTTTAAGTTTTGTACTTTAAGTATGTTTTGATGCTAATACATGTTCACTTCACTTCACTCAGTTTTTGTTCAACCTCTGGTGGGTTAATACTGCAGGCATTACAAGTGTTGTAAGGTTTGTATCTTATGTATCACTTGTATATAGACTCTTATGGCACTACTTCTATTCTATTTTATTGTATTTACTTGCACTATTTTGTCTGTTTTATTGTGTTGAACTGTTGGAGGAGCCTGGGACCTAAGATTTTCATAGACATAACTACACTGTAGCTATGTACGAATGACAATAAAAGCCTTGAATCTAGGACAGTTCAAATCCAATGTAACCAAATGGCATGCAGCTGACTCACCAGTGCTCATCTTTGATGCTGATGGACTTTCCTGACTTGATGTAGACTTCGTTATGGTAGCAGGGACATTTTGCCTTGGGGATGCAGATGCCGTTTTCATTGAGGTAGAGACCGTCAGGGCAGGAGCAGCCGTCCACAGGCAGGAAGTCAGAAATGCAACTCTGCTGCACGGAGCCGAGGGATCTGCAGGTCAGCTGGCATCTCTGATGCTGGTAAGAGAAGATCTGAGTCGCTGGGCAGTTCCTGGAGTATTTATCTGTTTTATGCACAGGATGAGAGGATTAGTGTTACTGATAAGACTTTATTACCATCATTATAATAGTCAATAGTAATTATACTGTTAACAAATAATGAATTATTATCTTGTTTCTTAATCATTGGAGATGCATCAAAGTATTTGTTAACCATTTACCAGAGTATTATATTAATTAATTAGTTATACAAATTTGACAAAATATTTCAAAAGAAGTAACAACAAATGTTGCTCATCATTAACAAATACATCATATAGTAGAATACAATAATATGCAACTATTAACTGTTAAAACATAAATGATAGATTACCTTGTAATTAGTTAACATAATCATTGTGTCATCACATAATGTCATTGTTTAATCAGTTTCACAGTTTAATTAACAATCAATTTAATAGCATTAGTGATTTTGATTGATACTAAGTGCTACCTAGTTACTTTATAGTTTTTAAATCCTTACCGCACACTTTCTCTCTCCAGTCTTCCAGGAACACTCCCTTAGATGCACAAGCCCGAGCGTAGGAGGAGAAGACGGCACACAGACAGTCCTCACTCTTCTCACAGTTGCAGCTAGCATAAGTACATCTCTGGAGAAGACATAAAGCACTTTTAGAGCATTACATCCCCATCAAAGTGTAATTGAATGAAAGACAAACAGAAAGGTTTTGCAGTACCTTGTAGTACAGCTCAGGATCCACCACTGAACGGCACTGAGCGAAGCTGCTGTCTGGACTCAGCAGCAAGGCGCACCAGTGTTTGGCGTACCACTCTGCAGAAACAATAGCCTTTTATTTTCAAAATTCTGTTTTCCTTAAAGAGACAGCTCATCCCAAAATCAAATGGCACTCGTCATGTGGTGCTTATAGCGGCAAGAAAATATCTTTTAAAAAACCTGCCAAACGTATCACTGTGCAGAAGGAAGCGTGCATCTACTCACGACTGAGACGCTAAGAAAGTTAGCTAGACAGAGAATATTTCCTATAAAAGACAGTCTGTGGATTATCTTGGGTAATAGAGAACATTTTTGGACAGACATTCGATTTATAAATGTTTGGAAATTGGAATTTTAGAAGCAATTTAATAATAATATATTTTTTAATGATTGTATAATTCTATTTTGACTGAGAAAGTAATGGTTTGAAATGCCATGCATTCCATATTTCAACATGTTACAACACTCTTCCAAATACAAATGCCCCAATTATTTTGTTTTCAAACAATAAAATATCAAGCAGTGCTTTTTACCATTTTCCACACTGAGGGAACAAGGGTCTTCAAGTCTCTCCTCTCTGTCTGGACACATGTAGTTAGCCTTCCACGAGTTACTAAAGGTGGGAGCTGTTCCCTCCACGATCCCCTGAGGAGTCTTCATGTCATCAGACAGGACCATGTTGAAGTTCCCGCATAAACCTGTAGACATTGAATATTTTATTAGCACTTATACTCAAGTGCAAACAATTGGCTAAAACTGAAAATAGTTACAAGGAAAGTATAAATGACTGTAATGAGAGTATAATGTATATTATTAGGAATGTGGGTAATCTATTTGAATTACGACTAATTTACATAAGAAAATACATTGTGACTTGAGGGTTACTAGTGTGGGGTTCAATTTGAGGTTTCAGTTTTGTTTGTTTAGAGAGAGAAGAATAGTGAATTTAAAGACAAATCCAACTCACCACTTATTACATTAACTGATGTATTTATTTTATGTATATTGTTTAGTTCTTTAGGAGGGATTCAGGGGTGGTGGAAAGACAATCAGCCTATAAATATGTTCTTGTGTCGTTACTGTAATGAATAACACATATTTAATCAAGTGTATTACAAGACATCATCATGTTTATTTGTCCACCTGTCAAGCACTACCTGTCCAACAAGTATTGCAGGTTTTTCATTTATTCATTATTCTAAATGTACAGTATTCTGACATCACTCTGATATCAAGTTAAATGTACAACTTACCACGTGTCTTTGCTCTGTAGCTTTGGTCAAGGCTGACATAGACTTGCATGACGGGCACATGCTGGATCTGAATTTGCAACCCGAAACTTGTCTGGAGCATGATGTGGAAGGATGAGGCGTGGAATATGTTGATGTCACCTGGATAAAGATAAGTACCGGTACAACATAAGTTAGATTGTTTTTGCTGATGTCCTTGCACACATTTAAATTACAATAACCTTTATACTAAGGGTTTCTGACCCACCTGAGTGGTATGGCAAACTGACTGTCTGCATGTTGTGCTTCACTGTGCCATCGGAGGTGAACATTAATACCTGGATACAAACAGAGTTGATCATTGCAGGTATAGGTTTGAATCTATGAATGAGTACGGTCTTCTTTCCTGAGAGACTTTAACTCACATTGTTTCTGTCATTGTTCAGCACGATTTTAAGACCCTTGAGGCAAGTGTCAAACTCTTGATTTGCACATGGCACCAACTGGACCAGGATGGTAAACTTTGGACTTGCTTTATCCTGAAATATAAATAGTGACAACAAAATATTAATTTACAAATGGTATTATTGAAATCAGCTCATTATGCATTTTATTTTGTAATTGTACAAAGCTATGGCTAATTCACCTTGCTTTCCACTTTGGCTAGGGTGTAGTAGCAGTCCCCATGGAAGGTGTATGTTTTCCCGTCAAAGGTAGTCACATGTGAGCCCTCCTCCACTGCACAGGTAGCAGGAGTCTGAAGGCTCTTACAGGCCCATTTACCCTCAACACATGTACTGAAACAACCCAAAAAAAGTAACTTAACAATAATAAACAAGATTAAGCTAGGCAAAATGAAATATAATGTTTCAAACTTACCATTCCTCTCTGTCCTGTCGGTAAACCTCACCAGAGTTGTAGATTTTGTTGTGTTTGCACTGACACTCAGATTGAGCAATACACCCTCTCATGGAAATATCATCAAACACAGTTCCTGAAGAAGACACACATAACATGAACTTTTTATAGACTAAGACTAGGGTATCTATAAGGGTAGTAAAACATGTGAATGGCACTAACCAGGAGGACAGAAGCAGCCGTCGATCTTGTGATCCTCACACAGAGAGCTTGTGTCGAGAAGTGTGCATGTATCCATGCAAGGGGAGCCACTCTCTTCATACACCATGTTGAATGGGCACTGTTTGGCTGTGAGGAAAGGACATGATTTAAATAAACTGATGTAAGTAATAGGGCATCAAGGGTGATATATTTAATTCTTTGATGCTTTGGATGCATGAGATAAAAATCCCCTATAAACATAAACACAGTACCTTTTCAAAATAACCCTGCTAGCTGTCAGTAGTGGAGTAAAAATTACAATATTTGCATCCAAAATACAGTTGGGTAAAATGTACAGTTTCATAAAATGAAAATAATCAAGTAGTACCTCAAATGTGTACTTAAGTGTAGTACTTGAGTAAATGTACTTAGTTACTTTCCATCACTGCATATAAAAAATAAAGATAATACAAAAACAGAAAAGCGAAAGAGATATTAAAAACCTTACCACATAACTGAGGAGACCTCCAGTTGGGAGGCGTTCCCCCTGCATGGGAACACTGTCTGGAGAACTCAGAGAGTGTGCTGCAGACACAGAAGTCATTTGGACTGTTGGAGCAGCCACACATGTCCTGCACACAGGTCAGGATGTACGGCTCAGGGTCGATCAGTGTGGTGCAGGAGCTCCAAGGCTCTGAACGCAGCATCTGGGCACAGGTGGTTTGCTAAACGGGAGGAAGAGACAAAGTTAGCAAATACGACCTGAGTACAGTGTGGGGAAATAACTGACTCCATTTAACAAGAACTGTACATAGTATACATTTGAGACTGTTGTACTTCAATATTCTGCTACATTGTACTTCCACTCCACGGGATTCAGAGAGAAATATTGTACTTTCTACTTAACTTTATTCATTTGACCAGTTTAGTCACCTTGCAGATTATTTACAGATAAGATATTACCAACATAATGTATCATAGTACAAGATGTGAGCACTTTATATCAACAGATATCACTATTGCTAACACTCACAAACTCCTTGCATGAATCCAGCATAGCCTCCCGAGATTCATCCTCCTCTTCATCCGGATCCTCACAAACTTCATTTGGACGGTGGACTTTCTGTTTGTTGCCGAACTCAATGGGGCTGATTTTGCGACCTGCACATGATTGTTTTTAAAATACCAAATGTCAAAGATGCGGATGATGATTGTGGAAATGTGTTAATGCATAAAGTAAATAAGCATAGTATACCATTATGAATGAACTCATCGTGGACAGGAACCCCATTGAAGTCTCCACAAAGACCACAAGTACGGTTTGCATAATCAGTATCCAGTTCCACCTGCAGCATAGCAAGAGGTTATGACACGTTTGGCTTTTTCACAATTTCAAAAAAGGCAAAACACCAGTTAATTGTAAATGCCTCAAAAAAATCATAAAGAATTCCTAACCAAATTCATGTATATTACAATTTAAAGTTGCATTATTGTGTGCTGAATAGTTCAATGGTTTAACAGTCAAACATTTTTCTTAAGTTTTTACCATGACTGCATCGTCTCCGTTCCACATGACAGTGATGCCGACTTTAGATTGGAGCTTGATGTTACCAGCATTTTTTTCCACTTGTACTCCTGCATTGAAGTGTGGCAATTTGACACTGGAAAATGAAGATGTTTTTCTTATTACAATGGACTTGTACATAAAAGAGTGGTACAGTTTATTTCCAAGGCTGTTGGATGTTCTACTCACGGGATGTCATTCACAGTGACCATGTCCTTGCTGAGGTAGAACAAAAGGTCGTTGATGGTGACCACCACATGACTGACTGTAGGGTTTCCATCTTTGACCGTCCTCCTCATGTGCACGGAGAACTCCTGGTAGGACTCGTGGCAGTCGGAGGCCAGGTTGTACTCACACGTGCCAGGGAACTGAAACACATCTCCGTCAAACGTCTTGAAGTGCTCCCGGCCCCATGTGCTGCAGATGCTGCTCACATGGTTGCGAACTGAGGAAAATGTTTGAGTATATAAAAAAACAGTTCAAGTTACTAAAGGCGGAAAGACTGACTTAAGAGATGATATATGCTTTACAATACTCAGAACAAAAAAGCTTAATATTCCCTCCACACAGCGTCCTTAACAATCTTACCCAGTCTGGCTTGCACGTTGATGACACTTGCAACAGACAAAGCAAGGAAACACAACCACACACTTCTCCCCCTCATCATTGCCATTGGCTTTTGGTCACCGGAGCAGATAATAGTTAGACTGCACTTGACTGGCTTTTATAGTGAGATTGCACTTTTCTTGTGGACGCCTTTTGTCCAAAGTTTTATTGCCAAGACATGGGAAACATATGCTGAATGGACGTCTGACGCATTTCAGAAGTCCAATATAATCATTCCTACATCCTCCTTATTGCTTGATTGAACAAATATGCACATTGATTAACAATTCATAGAAGAAATGGGCTGCAATAAAAGGGTTTTGTTGACAGTGTGCTCGTTAAATGATATCAAACTAATTCTCTTAAAAATACGCTCTCTTATTTTTGGATTAAATCGGTAATATTTCAGTTATACAGAGTTCAGACACATTTTACTAGAAATCTGCTTTTTTCTGCTTTTTAATCAAGTGATGAGAACTTATCAGGTATCATATCTTGGTATGAGAATGGTGTTATATGATAATTATTTTATTATCGGATTAAGATCCAACCTCGTCACAACCAGTGACTGCCAGTATATGCTTGAGCAAACAACACAGTTTGTAGCAAGCAAGGCAAGGCAAGGCAAGTTTATTTATACTGTATAGCAGCTTTCAACACAAGGCAATTCAAGGTGCTTTACAAAAATGAAAAACATTCAGACAAAGGCATTTAAAAACAGTCATTAAAAAGAAAAGATAATAAAAGAAACATTAAAAGAAAAAATACATGAATATGTATAAACATGAATAAAAAGTACATGAATAAAAAGTTACAGTGCAGTTTAAGATATGAATAGTTCAATTAAAAACAGCGGAAAAAAGATAAGTCTTCAGCCTGGATTTAAAAGTAGTAAGAGTTGCAGCGGACCTGCAGGTTTCTGGGAGTTTGTTCCAGATGTTTGGAGCATAATAACTGAACGCTGCTTTTATCATGTTTAGTTCTGACTCTGGGGACAGAAAGCTGACCTGTCCCTGAAGACCTGAGAGATGTGGATGGTTCATAATTTAGCAGGAGGTCGGAAATGTAAACCATTCAATGCTTTATAAACCAGCAGCAGTATTTTGAAATCTATTCTTTGACACACAGGAAGCCAGTGTAAAGACTTCAGAACAGAAGTGATGTGATCCACTTTCTTAGTGTTAGTGAGGACTCGAGCAGCAGCGTTCTGGATCAGCTGCAGCTTTCTAATATATTTTTTAGTGAGACCTGTGAAGACACCATTACAATAGTCCAGTCTACTGAAGATAAAAGCATGGACAAGTTTTTCCAAATCCTGCTGTGACATTAGTCTTTTAATCCTAGATATGTTCTTTAGGCGATAGTAAGCTGATTTAGTAACTGTTTTAATGTGACTGTTGAAACTCAGGTCAGAGTCCATGACTACACCAAGATTTCTGGCTTTATCTGTTGTTTTGAACATTGCAGACTGAAGCTCAGCGCTAACTTTTATATGTTCTGCCTTGGCTCCAAAAACCATTACCTCAGTTTTGTCTTTGTTTAAAAGCAGGCATAGATTACTGATAAAAAAAACAGATCCAATTTCATCAGTGCAAAACAAGCTTTTTTCTTTCAATCAGCACAAAGTGTTATGCATTTCGAAGCGTCAAACTGCTAATATTCTTTGTGTATAGTGTCTAGCCCGTATACACAAAGAATATTAGCAGTTTGTATGACCTGCCATTATTGTATGAATTGGTTAAATGTAAGCATGTAGTATAAAATGTCGGAAAACTGGAAAGGTGCTATTTAAAAACAACTCCCATACAGTTTTCTTTCTGTCCATCTTTAAGCTAAGCTGTTAAGGAACTTCTGCTCAAAAAGTGTGGTTCAAATGCTTTAGTCAAGTTTTCCAACTGTATTTAGAGTACTTCAAGAATTAGCTTGAGGAACTCTTTTGTTCCTCAGTCTGTAAGATCAGTTTGGGTTATAAGTAGGTCTCAGTGTACCTGGGATAAATGCTTTAAGTAAAAGTAAGCTATGAAATAACCTGCAGTTTATTATCCACTCTTCATAGATATAGTCCTGGCGGAAGTATGCGCCCTGGAAGTTCCTTCTGGTTAAATGTTTGTTTAAATTTGTTGACTTGGTATGCTTCATTATTTATATTGCATCTGGCGCGTGAACTGCATCGAACAACATCCTCGTTTACTGTCACCCTCTACCTGCACTGTCAAACTAAGGCACACAAAATGTGGCATGACATGGAAAACTTTCCCACTCTCTGGCGAACATGTGACAAGGAGTTTGTTGTGACTGCAGTCATTATTGGATCAAACACCATTCAAAGGTTGAACACTTCTTAAGAGACAATATTATGCAAATTAAAAAAAACTATTAATTACACACCAAATGAACACGTAATGATAAGTGATAAACAAATTTTGTTTGAACAGATATTTCTCAATTATTAAATAATAGCTGGTGGATACATCTGACTAAAGTTCAGCCTTACTGTACATTGGTTTTATCTGTGTGGTTATATCTTGGAAACAAACACATCGTCATTTAGTATTACCTCAAATAGCCGTAGAAGCTCCTCCATGTGCAAACAGGGCTTTGGGCTACTCCCACAGGGGGACAGCTGCATGATGAGAAAGGTGTATAGTTATTCCTGTCTGACAGCTTATACAGATTGACAGATATAGGATGTTGATTTAGGGAGGACTGTGCTTTGCCAAATTTCCTCACAACTGTTTGGTTTCATAGCTGGCCTATTCCAAATGTTTTAATCCGTGTTGACACATACTTTCATGGCTCATTACATGAGACAGAAGTTGCTATTTCCCATTAAAAAACAAATAATGTATGCATACATGGACATTTGAGCACGGTTAATATTTTGTGTATAAAACACACCCCAGGCCTATGCTGTCTCCAATCATTTGGAGAGTAAATATGTGTATAGAAAGTAAAGTTCTATGTTACGTAAAGTATGCAAATATAACAATTTGTATGCTGTAAAAACACACAATGGAAACAATTTCTACTTCGTCTGGCTGAAAACACTACCACTGTCTAATTAGTAATGCAATCATGAGCAGCCAGTGCTTAAGTAAGTATTACATCTGCAACTATGAATACTTGTTGTAATAATTATTGAATCATCCATCATTTGGTCTGCTTTAAAAGTCACTGTAAATGTTTGACATCAGTGCCTTAAAAAAATGTTTGCACATTAGTTTCTGAGTATGGCTAATTACTTGCCTCCAATTATTCCAGTTTTGTATTCATTATATGGCCATATATATATATGTATAGTTAATTAGGCCATGATTTCTGCTGTTATTTAGTTTATTCAAAATTCAGGAACAAGTGGAATCAGTTTTTACCTATGCAAACTTCTGGGTGAGAGTTAGTCTAGCTTAAAGTACATTTACAGTCTTGAATTCTTTTTAGGAGAAGTGTCATATTGTGAGCAACCAATTTTTGCATATTTTAACTTGATTTCTAAAAGATGTTCCTAAAATGTGCAAAAACAAGCACAAATGCGCTAAAAGTGTGAACAAAGGCTACACAAAATATTTTCAGTGTTTGAAAGTTGCATATTCTCTTAATACAGGGTATATGCAGGAATCCTGAAGTCAAATTTAATACCTTTTAAGACCTTTTTTAAGACCCTTTCCATACATTTTAAGACCTCATCGCCACTTCGAGTTCTAACCGGTTACATTGGCAACACACTTTACCTCACATTTACTATATTGATTGTAAGATAGCAAAACTAAACAGAGTGCAGACAGACTACTGAAGCCTCCTTTCCACATGAACTTCAACCTCTCTGTGAAGGTTTAATGCAGTATGCTGCTTTTTTGCTTCTGTAGACTCTGTGCTCTTTCATTCCAGTAAAACTCCTCAGAAACCATTAGAAACCAGTATTTGACCAACAAACAAAACAATTGACAAAACTTTGAACTATGAAATATGTTAAACTTTGGTGAGCTTCAGCGGGGTAATGCCATATAGGAGCTCCCTCACAAATACCCAGGGGTTAAATTGGGCTGGGGCTGTCCGGGGCTAAGCCCTGGCACATAGGACGATACTCTGACGTCATCAACCTCACACATTTGTCATATGTTTACAAAAAAGGATATATAGACAAGTTTACGCGCCAAACCACGGGTAGCGCCATAACCCTACACAAATGCACTTCATTTCCGCCGGAAGTCTTTTGCACAGAGTCTACTTCTTTGACTGGAGATGGCGTTACTCTCCCCCACCCGAATTCAGTGCAAAACTGGGAGGATAACATGACGACGTGGCCACGTCGTCATGTTATCCTCCCAGTTTTGCACTGAATTCGGGTGGGGGAGAGTAACGCCATCTCCAGTCAAAGAAGTAGACTCTGTGCAAAAGACTTCCGGNCCTGGACAAGAGTTTTAAGGGAAAGCTTAATTACACAAAAGTTTATTGAGCCGTTTCTCCCGCTCTACATCCTTGAAAACTTCCTTTCCCTTTTCGATTTGCCAAAATGGCCCACTTTTCCGTTCTGGCGGGGGACTGGGGTTTTGTTTTGCTTAAACTTTAAAACTTCCGTTTTTTTGTGTGCCGACAAAAAAAAAAAAAGCAACTTTGAATAATCCGCAAGGAGGGGAACCAAAAAAAAAAAAAGGAGCGATTATAAAACAATTAACAAAAACATTGAAAAAGAAAGAAAAAAAAAAAAAGAAAAAAAGTTTTGGTTTTCGGAAAAAAAACCCTACGTGTGCGGTAAGGTTGGTTTGGGCAATCACTCGAGAAAAAAAAAGGCAACACCACTTGAAAAAAAACGGAGAAAAGGTTAGAAAAAAAGATTTTTAAGAGGAAGTATGCTTTAAAACGACCCACCCAAAACGCAAAGCTACGAAAGACAAAGAGCACGACCACAAGTTCCATAGCGCTTCCAATGTTTTAGACAAATTTTTTTTTTCGCCCAAGCCCTAAAAGAGTAACCAGCGAACCGGAAAGATAACAAAAAAACAAGGGGGGAACCTTGGCTTGAAAAGGCCAGTTGAATTGTAAAAGGAAAAAAAAAAAAACCACCCCGCAAAAAAAAAAAAAAACGTTTTTTTTGTTTTGTTTTACCTGTAAATTCAAGAAAAAACTTTTGGTTGAGACCAAAAAAAAAAAAAAAAAAAACCAAAAAAAACCCAAAAAGGGAGTAAAGAAAAATCCTTTTTCCAAAGCGGTTCGTGGTTGGTACAAAATCGGCCCTTCCCCAGCCAAAAAAAAAAAAAAAAGGAACAGACGTCAACGACAAAAACCCAAAGCGGGCGGGAACCACTGCCCTCCCCCCAGAATAAAAGGGGGAAAAAAAAACCGCCCAGAACTTTGACAAAAAAAAGCTTTGACAGGGGGTAAAAACAAGTTTCAAGCAAAAAAAGACCGTTTTAGCTGATGAAAGCTGGGACCGGAAAATATCTGTTAATTATGAATAAGTTGTCATACACTAAACATTCGCTCTACCGGGTTATTTTTGCCCTTCAAGGGCAGTTGATTGTTTCCGCCCGAGATGGGACGAAGCAACACATGCCGCAGGACGGCCTACGTTGCCGACGTGGTAATTGTGCTGTGTGCTGTGTGTGTGTGTGCTGGTGGTGTGTGGTGGTGGTGCTGTGTGTGTGTGTGATAGTGATGGTCTAACATTGTCCAGGACGGGTATTTGCATTAGTGATGTTGTGTGATGTTGTGTGTGTGTGTGTGGCTGTGTGTGTGTTGTGTGTGTGTTGTGCTCTGTATGTATGTGTGTGTGTGTGCCGCCTGCGTGTAGATAGATAGATAGATAGATAGATAGATACTTTATTGATCCCCAAATGCCCTGCCTGGACTCTATGCCTGCATTAATTTAGCTCCATCCATGTTTTCTCTTCCCCTTTTAGATGCTCCTGAAACCTGTCAGCCTGCCTGTGAGACTGAGCCTGCTCTACACCAACATTTCAAGATGCCCAGACCCAATGGGAGGATCCGTCACATATTGACCACACATACTCTTCAACAACACAGTCTGTTAAAATAGACAAGGCCACACAGTGCGAGGCAGAAATGGGTCCTACTGTGACTAGCACCACGGTCATTGATGATGCTAGTCCCGGCTGTATACAGGAGTGCGTATGGTCAATTTTTCACCCTGGTGACGGTGTTGTTGCCTTTCAGTAAGCCATCAATTACCCTCCCTGTTGTTGACCAAATCCTGATGACCTTGATGAAGCTAAAACTAAACCTAATATTAGGAGATATTGCTCACCGCTTCAATGTGTCTACATCAATGGCAAGCATTGTGATTAGTCACTGGATTGACGTGATGGGTGAACAGTTCAAAGGTCCTGATCCCCTGGCTTCCAAGAGAGACAATTCGTGCCACCATGCCCCTTGTCGTTCAGAGGAACTACCCTCGAACCACCTGCATCATTGACTGTGCCGAAAGTGCCATGCAGAGAGCCACAAACCACGACTCAAGGAGTGACACTTTCAGCCAGTACAAATCACGCAACACTGTGAAATATCTTGTCACTGTGGGCCCTAATGGGCTAATCATGTTTATATCTGACGCCTATGCTGGCAGAAGCAGCGATAAGTTTATCACCAATGGACAGTGGGTTTCTAGACTATCTGAGGGCTGGTGATGAGGTCATGGCGGACCGTGGGTTCACAATTCGAGACTTGCTTGATGAGAGAAGGGTCAGTTTGAACATCCCTGCTTTCACCTACAGGCGCAATCAGTTGACCAATGAGGAGACGACACGCACCAGGCGAGTAGCCAATGTCCGCATACACGTGGAAAGAGCAATCCAGAGACTGAAGGTCTTTAAGATTTTATCCCAGACCGTTCCCATCAGCATGGCACCGAAACTGGACAACAACTTAACCATCTGTGCTGGCCTAGTTAACCTGAAGAGTCCACTGATCAGAGTGCCTCGTGAGGTTTAGAATCTTGCCTCGTGTCCCTGTCTACCAACACCCAGCCATGTTGTTCATTAAATACAGATAAACACAACAAATACTGCATGCATTGTATTTTTTAATATTATATATGAATATTTTCATAGTGATGTAATTGTGTGGGCTGCTTTTATATTTTAATTGTAATACCTGTTAGGATTAAACATGTGATCTTTCTTGTTGAAGCCATTTCTTTAGTTTCCTCTCAACAATTAATTAATTCAGTGTTATTTATGTACAGTATGAGCTTAATATGAATGATGAACTGTGTTAAAAGAAATTGTAGCACTCTAAGGAACATATGAAATGCAATAATGCAATAACAGTGCAATAATGAAATGAAATTACATCAAACTTTATTTTCACTCAAACAGTACAGGCACATATGATATATTGCACAGCATAAAGATATCATGTAAATTGTGCATTATGTAAACAACAGACAACTGTTGGCTCCTGTGGGCATGACCTAAATAAGGCAGTTTATTTTGGTTTTAAAATGCTGAGGGCCGCGAGGGGCAGCAACCACAACACTCGCGGCAACCCCTGTTAGTCGCTACTGCAGTATTGCCGTCGTCCGCGACGTGGTCAGCCCGAGACCGCCACCACTTGTCTCGCCCCGTCTTTTCCTTGGCAATCGCGACTTGGCTTCCGAGACCGAGCCTCGATCTTTCCCTTTCGCGACCACACTTTTCGGCGTAACAATCTGAGGAGGTCTTTTTGCGCCTAAAGACGCCTAGCGCTGAATAGCGCCCCCGTATTAGTCGTTCCTTACCGCGCTAAAAAAATTTTCCGGCGTATAATTTGGTGCCCTCGACGCGATTGGATGGCCGTTTACCGTGAAGTAAAGGCGGCCTCAGAAAACCGGTCGCAGACAGCCACATTTGGCCACAGATTTGTCAGTCTGCCCGGACCACAATTTGTCGCGTTCGCTAAAGCTAACGATTGGTCACTCGATCGAACCTTTTCTCCGGCTAAGATAAGATAATGACCTCTTACCGCCAATGAGAGGGGTGTTGGGCTAGTCACGTTGACCTCCTTGTACGCTGCAACCGGGTCGTATTGCATGTCGTTTTAAACGAGGTGATGAAGCAAGTTAGGTAACCGTTATCTTACCTTTTCGTATACCTGTCAAGCTTCCCGTAAGTATCCGACGCGTGTAAGAGAAACCGGGTGTAACGAGGGCTTTTAACAACTGGCAAAACAACTCCCTTCCAATGTCAAGACGT